TTATTTTTTTTTATAAAAATATAGTTCATTCTTTAACAAAGCCCGTGTAAATCCAAGTTTCAAACTTTGTGCAATATTTACAAACAATTCAAAAGACTTTCGTAAAAATTTTTAATTTTTAATTAAATTTCCTAGAAAGATTCTGAGTATGAAGTTTTGTAGCCCTGTGAATTCTAGCNATTCAACAGACTTTCGTAAAAATTTCTAATTTTTAATTAAATTTCCTAGAAAGATTCTGAGTATGCAGTTTTGTAGCCCTGTGAATTCTAGAAAGTACAAGTTTCAAATGGCTAAAAGTTACGGTTGATTGCTTAGAATTTTTTTTGTCCCATTTGCTTCCATGTAATGAATACACACAATTAATTTTTATTTAGAAGAAAACCGAAACATCCTGGACAAAAAAGATCTAAAAAATCAACCGTGAGAATTTGATTGATGTCGCCATATTTCAGAAATTTATTGAAAAACACCCTATCTCAGAATTTGGTCTCAGCAAATAAGGCGTTCTTCAGTCAAATTCTGAAGTAGGGCGTTCTTGAAACTTTTTTTATATAGGGCGTTTTCGAACTGGCTGCCGAGATAGGTTGATCTTACACTCAGCCATCGAATTAAAGTTGACGTTAAAATGGCTGTACTTGAATATTGTTGGTATTAGGACAAATTTTAACCAACTTGAGACTATATCATTTTCTACAAGATTTGATTTTATCTGTGTGACCGAGTCTCATCAATAAGCAACAGTGAAATGAAACTCAGTGACTATAAAATAGTGAGAAAGGACTGTATATCAAGGCACACAGGCGGCGTTCCTTTCTATATAAGCCCAGAATGGCAATGTGAAATAATAGAGGAAACGGCTATTGAAAAAGTGTATGGTGTTTAATTATAAAGGTCAAACCAAAAATATGTAGATCTAATGTTAATTGGATTGTATAGGTCGCCAGACAGACACAAATCTCCAGAAAATGTATTTTGTGATTTTTTTAAGGAAAAAATTAAACAATTACGTGATACTACTACTCAAACTCTCATAATGGGACATTTCAACATCGAATGGTTGGTGAATAGTTCTTCCCGACAACAAATTTGTCAATCAGTAACAGACAATGCATTTAAGCAAATAGTATTCGAGCCAAAGAGAGTATCGCGAACCAGTGCAACGTTGACCGATTATGTATTGACAAACATTTCTGACATAGAAGCAAACGTTAAGTGTGATTATAAAATAAGTGACCACGAAACCATACAAATTTCTTATAAAAGTCGGACAGCTAAATCGCAAAAAAGGCAAAGCCACTATAAAAATGTTATTTTTAACAAATAACTATTTATTGGAGAAATAGCAAACAAAAGTTTTGCAAACATTAAACAGAATGCTAATAACTTGAACGAGATGGTT